ACACAATGACAAGACAAAGCAAAAGAAAGGACGCGTCTTGTACAAACGGGAGTCGCAATTACAGCGCCGAGATTGAACATGTAAACAAGCGAGAACGGCGGACTGACCGTAGACCAGCAGGGTGTAGTGATCGGCGGCTCGCCCGTAGTTGTTTTGCGCCTGACACAAGTAAGTGCCGTTGTGGGACTGGCTCAGGCGGGAAATCTGGAAGGTGGGCCCGGAGATCTCGGCACGCTCAGGTAGGGTGTCGTTGATCTTGGACCACTGGATGGCACGGGGCCTGCGAGGTAAAAGCGACAAGTTACAAACAAAAAAATAAATAAATCAATGAATGAGCTGAATGTAGATGCTGCAGAAAATTGTGATTGATCAATTATTTGTAAAACTGCATTTTTGCTTGGTTGAAGAGCAATTAGGAATCCACAATGGAAAAAAAAACCATTCCACTTAATTATTTTTTTTTAAATTACCATTGCTCACAGCGGCAAACTATTTTCATATCTAAAAACATTTTGGGTACGGCAATTTCAGAGATAAATATGAATTTTAGTTTAAACTTAGCATTCCTTGTATCACAACCAGAAGGCATCGATTTAAAAACAAACAAAAAAACATGAACGGCCTTTGTGCCACATCACTTCAGCAGCTAGCATTTTAGCATGCGACAAAGTCATACGTTGGCAATTCAAAGGCGCATTACTACCACCGAGTGACGTTGACCTTCCGCTGCAAGTGATGCTGGGAAATTCATGGTGGCCAGATGGAGTCAAGTGAAAACAACTAGTAGTAACTGTTATGGTCACAGATCGCAAACGCTCATGTCCACAAAAAAAATTAAAATAAAAATCATAATAATAATAATAATGTCTTCATTATTGACACCTAAACTCTCACTCCGATCAACGAGATCCCAACTCACTATCACAGATGATCAGACGTGATGTGATGTTCACACAGAAGTTGGCTGGGTTCTGTGTGGCGGATAAAAGTCTTCCGTTACGGCTCGGACGCGTCAAATTCACGGGCCAGAGATAGACACGGGGACGCACAAATAGATCTAAACACACACACACAGGAGGTGGGAGGATTACAGCGTCACCCTGCTGAACAGAGCCGTGCCTGGCTGTGTGTCATGGCTTGTGGTTGCATGCGCAGAATCATCCAAAGCTCCAATCCCTCGCAAAGTTTAATTAAACTTTTTGCGATTTAGCCATGCACACACACGCGTGCGCGCACACACACGCACGCACACACACACACACACACACGTGGAAAAAAAAACAACAAAAAACTTTGGGGTTTAACCACGACACTCCAGTTGAGCCACATACGACAAGTCGGGTCACCAAAAGAGACACACACACACACACACACACACAAAAAGGCCCGCCGTAGGAGTGGCCACAGTCCATTCCAATCGCGGCCAGTTGAAGCGGCCCCTTTCCGTTCCCTTTAAACCTGCTGCACCAGTCAACGGCGCTCTGAAGCGGGCGCTTAGAGACCACCGCCGCACCCCACCAAGCGCCCTCCCAGCAAGGACTGCTGCTTTTCCACCTGTTGTCCTTTTCTTTAATTCCTCTACCCCTAATTGGTCTTTAGCTTGACAGGGATTGAACAGGGTGTCAATGACGATTGTAACAAATATGTGTGTGTGTGTGTGTGTGTGTGTGTGTGTGTGTGTGTGTGTGTGTGTGTGTGTGTGTGTGTGTGTGTGTGCGTGTGTGTGTGTGTGTGTCGAGGGTCCACAGGGGACTGCTGAGCCATCACACACTCACAGTGGGCGTCCCCGACCAAGCGTCGCAAAGTTTTGTCGAGGCTCGAATATAAGAATATAATGTACACCGATCACAGCAAGTCCGCTCATTGTGGGATTACCAAATGGCGGTGACACCCCGGGAGATGCACCAGCCTCCTCTCAAGTGTCCACAGTGGGCCCAGCCGGTAGAGTAATTATTCGACAATTAGAGTTTGAAACAGACTAAAAACAGGGAAATTGACAGGTGGGATGAGGAATTATTTTTCAAATGGGGTTTACCATGTCAGTCACGAGTCAATGGGCCTCTCAAAGTCACACGAGGCTCTCCTAAGAAGGATTAAGGGCCCGATTTTCTTCATCAAATTTCAAATCCGACACGGCGTGCGGACGTATCGACGCCGGTCGTAATTGCAGATGAGCGCACGGCTGGCAGAGCGGCGAGAGGGAGGGCTGCGCCGCCGTAGGAGTGGCCACAGTCCATTCCAATCGCGGCCAGTTGAAGCGGCCCCTTTCCGTTCCCTTTAAACCTGCTGCACCAGTCAACGGCGCTCTGAAGCGGGCGCTTAGAGACCACCGCCGCACCCCACCAAGCGCCCTCCCAGCAAGGACTGCTGCTTTTCCACCTGTTGTGGTATTGGAACGTATCCTTCATAATCCGTACTGGTATAACGACAGAGCATTTCGAGACTAAACTGGCTAAAAAGATGGAAATTGCCAGATGGAAGGAGGAATCTGTTCTCAAGTGGAGTTATAAAGTTTGGGAAGTTGCTCCAGCGTGATCAAACACACACATACATCGATTGCTTTCCTGGAGTTTTGAGGAGACGCTGGAGTGGACCAGGAGCCAAGAAACATGAGGGGTCATCCATTGCGGAGGCTTGACGAGATTGAAGAACCAATCCCTCCTTGCACCACGGCGGGAAATTTGACTTGTGTTTATTATCTCCTCTCAGTCACAGGTCGGTCCGTATTATGTCTTCATTTACACTTTTATGATTGAAAATAGGCTCCTCAAAGTCTTTTGCAGAAGGCAATAAAATCAGGATCGCATCGTTTTGATCCGTCACTCACAAGTGAAATGTCAGCAGCGTTCGATTGCTTTTGCGGCACTTTGCAAATCAGCGACATTTGAGATGTTGCGCACATTTCACGACAGCGTTTATCGCGCGATGGCTTCGGACGTGTCGATCGCACACCGAGCGTAATTAGCAATTACAATGCGTGAAATCGAAAGGAGCCTTCATATCATATTTGCATCGTGAATGAATCTTTCAAGAAAGCGGTCGAATAGGATGATTACGGAAGTGAAATGTCGGCAACGACTTAGCTGCACCATTTTTCTCATTTCAGTCGTTATCTGAACACGTGTTGAATTTCATCCAGAAAATAATGAATATAAATTATCCATTCGACCCATTTTCGACTCCGCTCATCCTGATCATGGTTGTGAAGGCCCCGGAGCTTTTCCCAGCTGCCTAAACTGGCTAAAAAGATGGAAATTGCCAGATGGAAGGAGGAATCTGTTCTCAAGTGGAGTTATAAAGTTTGGGGAAGTTGCTCCAGTGTGATCAAACACACACATCCATCGATTGCTTTCCTGGAGCTTTGTGGAGACACTGGAGTGGATCAGGAGCCAAGAAACATGAGGGGTCATCCTTTACGGAGGCTTGACGAGATTGAAGAGCCAATCCCTCCTTGCACCACGGCGGGAAATGTGACTTGTGTTTATTATCTCCTCTCAGTCACAGGTTGGTCCGTATTATGTCTTCATTTACACTTTTATGATTGAAAATAGGCTCCTCAAAGTCTTTTGCAGAAGGCAATAAAATCAGGATCGCATCGTTTTGATCCGTCACTCACAAGTGAAATGTCAGCAGCGTTCGATTGCTTTTGCGGCACTTTGCAAATCGGCGACATTTGAGATATTGCGCACATTTCACGACGGCGTTTATCGCGCGATGGCTTCGGACGTGTCGATCGCACACCGAGCGAAAAAAAAAAAAAGAAGTGAGAACAAGGCAAACTAAATGTGGCTTGTGGCGTCTTTGCCATTAGTTTCCAAGGCAACGGCCTGATGACAAGCAACAAGCAGAGACGCTGCCGTCTTCCCCGTTGCTATGATCAACAAACGTTGTTTACCGTGGAACAACTCGGCGGTCCATAAAGCGCAATACAATATATCTTTATTCGTATGGCGCTTTCACGACAGCTGCAGCGGTAACAAAGCGCTTCGCGGAACGTCAACTTCAAACCATTCACACTCATACAGCAGAACGCCGAACACACAATACATTGACTGGAATACAATCGGAACTATTCCGGCATCAGCGGTTATAGATCAAAGAGGAGAGATTTCGTCTCCTTTCCAAGCGGATCAACGGCTTTTTCACTGGGTGGAGACGGGCTGACATGAAAATGACCATATATGGACACGGGAAGTTTCTGCCCCACCGTGACGATATGATAAACTGCTGAATTGCGTTCGAGCGATCGAACGAGTATCTCACGCGCGCCTTATTGACTGACATTTAGTATTTGTGAAGCCAGACGTAGAATTTGTCTTATCATGAGGGTGCGAGTAATTATTCAAAGCTAATTACCGATTGCGCAAAGAGCGATGCGCGTTTCAACCGCGGAGGAAATGGAGCGACGGCTCGCACGCTAACGGCCGGAGCCGACGTCCGACTGGGCCGCGGGCTCCCTGCATCGACAACATCTGGACGTATTGGCTTTTAATGAGAGGCGCTTCAGCGGCAAATATCCGTCAGCTCAAATACGGGCCGGCCGAGAAACAAGCTCCATTGTAAACATGACAAACGAGGCTTCCAATCCTTGACACAAATTACTCCTGCGGCTGTCGTAGCAATATAAATGGAATAATCTATGTTTTTAAATCATTCGAGCACAGAACAGTTTGATCAGGACTCTTGGGGAGTACGATACGGTGCGGTGTGTTGAACGGCGAAGGTGACAAAACAACAGTCCTGATACTCACAGAACACATCCAAGCGGTAGTGTCGGATCCTCTTCTGGTTGCTCAGTGCCGGGTGGAGCGCCTCGCAGCTCAACGCGGCTCCATTATCCTTCCTCTCGACCGGTATGCGGATGGTGCTGGACACGCTGACCGTCTTGCCGTTGTCCTGCTGGGAAACCACACCTGCCGGAACAAGGGTAGATCAGATGACGGCAGGGACGGGGGTGGGGGGGAACCCAAAACAAAATGAAGAAGAAGAAAGTAGGAGTGAGTGACAGATGAGTTTTTGGCGGCCAAGTAATGGGTCGCGGCAGTGGAGCATTTGAGCGCTCGTGGGCAGAGGAGAGAAAGATGAGGCAGGAACGGGTCTTTATATTCCATGTAAATTATAAATGACAGTTTGCTGATGATAGCTCAACGCAACGCGTGTGTGCGTGAGAGGAAGAGGGAACTGATAGATCCAGAAATGAGGGGGCTGCAGGGCCAGGGATGAAGCCATTCGAAAATTCCAGAGGCGGAATGCACTTTATGATTTTTCATTTTTTTAACTTGTGACAGGCAACAGCGGAAAAAAAAAAAAAAACGTGTTCGGTCACGTCGCCTAAGTCAAATAAATTCGTCCAAATCAATTGGTTTTGATATTGAGCAATAATGTGAAGATGGTGACAAAATACAACGACCAATTTTTATCGATTGAATAGATAATTCAAAAATCAATAGGATCGGACAGACAGAATGTAACATAACGCAATAAAGTATTTCGACGACATCACGTAATATCATCATCCGACACAAAGTAACGTGATACAGTCAAACCTCGGTTTTCGAACGTCTCGGTTCTCGGCCAATTCGGTTTTCGACCAATTCGGTTTTCGACCGAAAATTTCGCGTTTTTTATGCCTTGGATGACGAACAAATTTCGGTTCTCGAACAAACTGAGCGCACTTCAATGCACCATTTGACTCCTCTTGCCTTCCTTACACGAGGGAGTGACGCTTCCTCGGGTAGACGAAGAAGTGACGCTTCCTCGTGTTGCTTTCCATTGTGAGCAGACGTGTTCAGTAAACGTTTTTATTTTAAATAGAGCGTGGTTTTGGTTTTCGAACAATTTCGGTTTTCGAACAGCCTTCTGGAACGGATTATGGACGAAAACCGAGGTTTGACTGTACTTTGTACTTCAATATAGCGTAACACAATACAGTTTATCATAATAGAGCATAACATAACACAAATTAGCGCAGCGCAAGTATCATAAGATAAAGTAGCGTAACACGATGTAGCGTAACAAATTAGCGCCGCAAACCACACTAAAATATGACGTTATACTACGTAAGTCCAAAAAAATTATTAAAAAAAGCATAATGTAACAAAGTGTAAGGTAATAAAGTGCTATTCGGCTAACGTTACATGATCCCAGCTCACGCTCTTCCCATCCATCAGAGCTTTTGCGGCTCCACGGCCGTACCTGGAATCTCGCGGCCGTTGCGCATCCAGCGCAGGCTGGCGGCCGGCTTGCTGCGCGGCGACACGCAGCTGAGCTCCACCTCGCCACCCTCCACCGCCTCCTGCTTCACTTCCACGACGGGCGTCTCCGGCGGAACCAGCACGGCCAGCGTGGCCACCTGGTGGTGCGTGGCGTCCGTGTAGAGCTGGCAGAAGTAGCCGCCCTCGTCCGAGACGCTCACGTTGGTCAGCGTGATGCGCACCAGCCGCGGCGTGAAAAGCACCATCTGGAAGCGGTCGTCCTTCAGAGCTGGAGGTGGGCAACAAGGACATCGTCACAAGTCATCTTATTTGGCAATCCTATGAGTAGAATTGTCACTGACCTGAAATAAAGTCTTTATAAAATATGAGGAGCAACAAGTTTCCAAATAAATATATACACATTATTACTATATGGGACAAAAAATAAATAAATCATATACAGTGGTACCTCTACTTACGAACATCTCTTCATACGAAAATTTCAAGTTACGAAACATCTCAAAAGGAAAATATTGCCTCTTGTTACGAAAGAAATTTAAAGATACGAAAGACAAAAATACAGTATGGGCTGCTAGTCGCTCCAAGTTTCCTGAACGCAACATACTTCTAGATGCTCTGCTATTGGCTATTACCGAGCCTCATCCTGGCATCCCATTGGCTAAGAGAGACTTCTGTTTCCGTGTGTCGTGAGATAAATATATAGATATGTGTCCATGCAGCGTCCTCGTCATTCGCCCCTTCGGGCCATGAGGAGTATAATTTTATGTAAATGTGAATCCCCCAGAAAAAGTGTTCACCAGTCGGGCGATCGCTCACTATGCTGATGTGTGACTTGGGACATTTTCGAAGGATTGTTAAAAGCCGACAAAAGCAAACGTCCTTGGATCAGTTCTTTCCAAAACTCCAGGCAAGGGGGTACTTGGAACGGATTAGGCCATTTACATGGAAAACACGCCTCTACTTACAAACTTTTCTCGTGAAGAAATTTCTTCCAGAACCAGTTAATTTCGTAAGGAGAGGTAGCACTGTATATGGTATATCATTTTGATACAGTTGCTTGTTACCCCAAGCGGCTGGACTACATTTTTTGTACCGTAATCAAGTCGTCAACAAAATTCTTCCTTTACCTCTCGACAAAGTTTTTGCATTGATGTGAAAAGCTCTTTGATGCAGGTGCTTGTTACCCTGAGCGGCTGGACTACATTTTTCGCACCGTAATCCAAGTCGTCAACAAAATTCTTCCTTTGCCTCTCGACAAAGTTTTTGCATTGATGTGAAAAGCTGGCGGAGGAATTTGTAAAGTCAGCGTGCGTATAAACGACAACAACTACTCATCCATTCTTTATCCAAGTATGTCAAAGTAGCACCTCCCTTTCAAATTGTTTGTCTGGAGTTGATTTTTTTGTTTTGTTTTGTTTTGAAGGATTGGGCAACTTTTTGGGGTGCATATACACCTTTTCAAAAGTTAGAGGCGGGTTAAATGCCGCCATTAAACGCAGCACAAAAGCTGACGCTGGAGGAAAGGCGACAAAAGAAGATTAGAGGCGGCAAATTTGCAACAATTTTCTTTTTGTTCGCGGAGACGTCGAGAACGGAACAAAGCCTACCAACAATACAGCACTGGCTCGATGTCTATAGATTCATGTAAATACCTTGGGGAATGATTCGATATTGACACCTCTATTTTGCCTGCCTCCCTTTGTTTGGGCTTTGTCGCCCGCGGGGACAGCGTCTCCTGATGCAGTGCCGCCAGGCCTTCTTTGCAGACTCATTCGTCACGACGCTGCGATGAAGATATTGTTTTTTTTTGTGTGTGCGGGAGATGCCAACCGAGGAAGCCAGTGCGAGTAAAACAAACTAATAAAGCTATGTAATGCGGCAGGCGAGGGGATGGAAAATAATATCGAAATGGATGCTGTGTTCAGCCCAATTTCCACCAAGCAGTACGCTTCGGTAGGGTACACAGTCTCCATTGTCGCAAGTTTGGAGGAAGTTCTGGAAATGTCCAAACAGGACAAGAAACATGCATTCAGGAAATGGTAGACGGAATTTTTTTTGTTAACAAAGGAGAAGAAAAATCAGGGGTGACCTTTATAGAACATACTCACGAACGACTCAGTGCGGCGTCGAAAAAGAGCGGAGCAACATATGCTACGAAAGTGTGCCCCGAAGCTGCTTTCGCTCAGGGCGCGTCTCCTTGGAAACAAAGGCCAGCGGTCGGATCCCGCTGAAAGTTGCGTCATGTGGCAGGCACGGTCAGCCTTTGGAGGATGCAGTCTATGAATTTAGACACCGCCTCGAGTCACTCAACACGCAGAGTAGCTAAGCGTTAGCTACTTCATAGCCACAATCAACAACAGAGTGATTCACGGAGTCCCACGTCATTTGAAAGGTCAGGCCCGCGCACACATTCGGTCTTTCGTAAGTGGGAAAATAATTCATGATATGAATGTTAATGACGTGACAGAATTTCTACTCCTTTCTTGGCTATCGTGCCACTGTTAGCTTGATTTCGTTACACCGAACTGTGCGAAGCTAACTGCCGCGCGACTTTGCTCATGAACAAAACGTACAGCGCGGGATTCCCCTGGGTTGCTCGGCGACGCTACTGATCGACTGTTCATCGCAGTTGGCGGCCATTTTTTGGGGAAACGGTTAAAACGAACTACCGTGACAACGTACAGATTCGCTATTTCCCTCTCGGGGTAAGTTGTAACGAGGTTTGACTGCATTTTGTTTCCAGCTATCAACTGCACTGATTCCGTATGGGATGTAGCTACACCACAGCTGTCAAATCCAGGTGTGGAGAGTAAAAAGCATCCCGTATTTCGGCTTTAGACGCAGGTGCTTCGACTCAACTGGGTCCTGGGGAGCTCGTTTACCTGCTGGCGGAGTGGAAGCATCTGTGGCTAAGGCCAAACAACGGCAGGGATTTAAAGTTCTGAACCTGGATTCAACATCTCTGAACTACCGGCTCGCAGTTCGGTGATTCGGTTGAGAATGAATTTGAATGTACACAACCCCAAATTCAAAGGAAACAGCACAGCACGCTAATTTTCTCCCATAGTACTCCCCAGCTCTGCGCAAAGAAGGAAGAATACCGAATGCGGGACATGACGATTGAACGTAGGGGACGCAGCTCACGGCAACCTGCCTTACACACCTGACAGTGTAGACACAAGTCAGATGAGGGGTTAACGGTTTTCATGACACAGTGGACTTAACTGGGTGGCTTGTTGGAAACATGGTCGCCCCCATCGCTACACTAAATGGCAACTGAATGTCACACCGCCACCCGAGTCCAAGTTGGTCTTTATGGTCCGGCCTCATTTGCATGCAGGGCAGTGTCCATTTGGTCAGCTCCACCACACTGTGGCAGCAATCTCCCCCCCCCCCCCATCTCTCATAAAATAAGATAAAAACGTCACGACCACTGTTCAGGGGCTCGCTTGTAAAATAGGTCTAATTTAATGCTTTTATTTGGACAGTTAGACACACTCGGGGTGGGGGGGGGGGGGGCTGCGGCAGATGGACAGGAGGAAGAGTCGTACATTGAGCGATGGACTCGCCAAATTCCCCAACGAGGCTCGTTCATGCTCATGTGTAAGCGGCGTCATTTTCCAACCTTTCCCTCGCCTCGTCTTGGCTCACCTTCTCTTCTCAAGTCCTTTATGACCCTTGCTCGCTTTGATCAGATCAGATAAGATAAGATAAGAAATCCTTTATTAGTCTCGCAATGGAGAAATTCCCAATTCACAGTTGCAAAGTTAGGAAAGGAAGAAGTAGAAGAACAAAATATAGGAGCTGCTGGAAAGGCAGCCACTCTCGCGGATGCTCTTCATCCTCCATCACACTCGGCCAAAAGCTTCAAGTCCACACGCCACGAGGGGGGCGGGGGGTTTCACACGACTCAGCTGCCCTGAAATACTTCACGGTACTTCACCATCAGGCGAACGAGCGCCGAAGTTGGAAGTTTCCCCCCCACAGCTGCCACCTCGACTCCTGAAGTGGTTCCAGTCGTACCACACGAATGGGACGCTAACGATGAACAAGTCAAAGCTGCTCTTGCAACACGGGTAATCGTTGAAGATTAACACAGGCGAGGGGAATGTCCATTTAAGCCCTCTTCATCAGAGGGTTTAATGTCTGGCATTCATGTTCTTGTGCTGAGAGTCTTCACGATTAATTCACTTAACCGCCGCATTACCGGCAAGGGTGTCTATCTACTTAGTCAAACGAACACGCTGCAAATGCTGGAATGAGCCAGAAAGTGGGAGAGGCCATGAACGTGAACGCATCCTGAAAGGCGATGCAATGTAGTGCACTCAACTTCGGCAGCTGGCGAAGGGAAAACTCTAATAATTTTGGAGTCAGCTCGTCCTCCTTCAAGCGTATCCAGTTGGTCCAAAATACTGGCGCTCGCCTCCTAACTGGTACGTGTAAGAGGGAGCACATAACCCCAATTCGGGCTTCCCTTCACTTGCTCCCAGTAAATTTGGGGAGTTCATTTTGAGATACTTTTATTTGTTTTCAAATATTTAAATGGCCTCGTCGCAGGTTACCTCTCTGACTTCCTCCACCCCTACGTACCGGCCCTGTGCCTCAGGTACGCACATTTGTGTACCAAACATTTTGAAGGACAGCGTGTGAGCCGCTGGCTTGCTTTTGGCCACAGAAATACAGCTCAGATTTTCTTGGACAGAACAGATGGACTTGCGCAACTGTTTGATGCTTGGGGCTTAGCGTAGTCGAAGAACCAAGTTGGACAGAGCCGCTGTCAACATCGGAGTTTACGACGGACACTTTGCAGTCTTTTTTTTTTTTTTTTTTTAAGCATTAAGCTAAACGGACTTTCGTAAGGCAAAGTTGCGCAGCTGTTTGACATACTCAACATTTCATTCTCTTTGTTTCAAGTTTAATTTGACAGTAAACCTGAACTGGAAATGAAAATAAACAGCTTGAAGTCTCTTTCTTTCTTTCTTTTTTTTTTTTTTTTAAAGAACATTTCACAATCTGCCAAACTGTGAAGTGAGTTGAGTTTACTCAGCCGCCGTATCTTGAAAAACTCCTCAGCCGGGTCATTCGTATATCTCACGGCACCGCTGCATTTCCAATTAAATTTGTTCAAATTTAAATTGTTACAATGTCCACCGATAGAGAATGGACTGCACGCTAACATCCATCCATTTTCTGATCCGCTTGATCCTCACAAGGGTCGCAGGGCGTGCTGGAGCCTATCTCAGCCGTCTTCGGGCAGTAGGCGGGGGACACCCTGAACCGGTTGGCAGCCAATCGCAGGGCACACAGAGACCAACAATCATCCACGGTTACAATCACACCGAGGGACAATTTCAAGTGTTCAATCAGCCTGCCGTGCATGTTTTTGGAAATGCGGGAAGAAACCGGAGTACCCGGAGAAAACCCACGCAGGCCCGGGGAGAACATGCAAACTCCACGCAGGAAGGCCAGAACCGGGATCGGCAACATAAAGTCAAATAATATCACGTAGCAATACGCAACACCACACTACATAATGAAACACAAGTTAGCATAGCGCAAAGGCTCATAATGCCGCACAACATAAGCTTAGAACACAACATAACACAACAACATAAGGCAACGCAACATTCTTAGGCGATGTAACATGTAACGTAACACGACGTGATGCAGTACAAGCTTATTCATTTAAACTGCTACAATATTAAGGGGTAGGGAAAGGTTAGGGTTCGGCTAAGGGTTTGCCAAACCCGAACCTTAACCGCCAGCGCCCCCGTAATGCGACAGCGCACAACGCAAAGCCATTCCTTTCACTTTTTTGGGATGATTCCGCCACCATTCGGGACAAATGCACATTCATTTCGCGATTGAATTACGGCTCTGTATTCAAAACAAAAAACACACTTGAGAAAGGATTCAACGACATCAAGAACACTTGTCGGAAAGTTTGCCTCAAGCCGAAATGACAAACACCAACGGTGATACAAATGTAGTCAATTTGCAGATGAAAGATTATTTTAATAGAATCAATCCCCCAAATGACATTTAATATTAACCGGTAATGTGAGCTCATTTCCTCCTCGCACGCATTGCTCCGAGGCGACATTAGCTTGCTGAGAAGAAGTGATTAAAGGGGAAAAGTGCTGTTTACCGAGCCCAAGGCTCTTGGCTGAACTCTAACGGTGGTCACATCACAATTTGAGCACAACGGCAAGTCCGCGCTCTAATAAAGAGCTGCAGCGCATCTTCCGACTCATCATAGGGGGTTAACGGTGCGGGGACCGTCCTTTTAAAAGCAGTCACATAGTTTGGCTGGGAAATAAAAACAGTCACCTCAATTAACTCGTTGGTTATCTTTTTAATGAGGAATAAGCTCAAATGGCAACGCGAAGCCATTTGCATCAAGATGTGCACGCGGTGGAACGCACAACTGCTGCAAATGCGGACTGTTAAAGAAGTGCAAACTCAATTGGAGGGCGATTATTTATTTGTTTATTTTAATGTGCAACTCGCTTCATGGAGAAGGATGAAAGCGGATGGGATTGTGCTCGTTTAAATTCTAAGGTGGAGGAAAAGTCCAATTCAAAGGAGCAAGACAAAAGGAATTCATCAAATCTGCAGGCTTCTTTGTAGTTCATTAAGAATGATGTCGAACATGATTCATTGATCCCTACAATTCTATTATTTGTGAGGAGATAATAGCTGATTTTTTTTTTTTTTTTTGGCGTGTGTCTTGACGAATGAGAGTTCATGTTACATACAACAGTGACTACTGCATTGAGATGTAACATAACGTAACGTAAACCGGTGTTGTGTAACAACTTTCGAAAGCTTGAGCAACTCCACACAAGGCAACTTTTGACACTGCAAATGTATGCTTTACAATTTCACGGAACACAACACAAGGTCCCCTAACACAAAACCACAGGACGTAACGTAACGCGACGAAAAGACACGTAACGCAAAATCACGTAACGCCACTATGTAATGTGACTTCAAGTCGTTGCGCTTTCACGCTGCGCAACTTCACGCACCCGATTGCGCATATTGCAACTTCTCGTAACCTGACTTCAAGTTATGTTACGTGTGTTCATGTCATGTGACTTCACACACTACATCTCACCCCTTTTAAGGCTACTTTGGCCTTAAAAGGGGTGAACATGCATGTGTGTGTTTTTGAGTCACGGCCACTGTGCTCGAAGGCAGATGACATCCACGCAAATACACACCCCGCGTGCCGTTGAAGAAGAGCGTCTGGCGGCGTGGGTTCTGAATGACCACAATGGATCCATCGTAGTTCTGCAGGCGGCAGGAAATCTGGGCCGTGCCGCCCTCCAAGACGGTGACGTTCTCCGCCTGCACGGCCTGACAACACGCTGTAAGAGGACAAAGAAGAGCAGGGAAAAAAAAAAGTTTACCTCACAGTTCTTTTTTCATGCAACCTTTCAAAACCAAAAAAACACTCGCCGCCTTCTTCGGCTCTCAAGTTATTCATCATACAGAGCCGAGCATGAGAGGAAAGGAGAGACGCAGCAAAAGAGACTGAGATATGCGTCTTTGGGTTCATAAAGAGGATCGTCAGAATAACAGGAAAAGGTGCTAAGCCATGCCACGAATAGCAAAAAAAATCTTGATTATTTTTGTAATAATAATGACAGTTTATAAACAAAATGGAATTTGCCTGGCTTTCCAATATTTTATAAATAAATGGTGAAGAAATCCAAAGGGATCCTTCTATATTTCTGTACGTGACCCATGGAGGAAAAAAAAGCTTGCCTCAGCATGTGTAGTTAAAAATTGATTTGCATATATTTTTAAAAGCTATTTTTAAACCATTTTTTCAAAAGCATCTATTAAAGTAGGTCACGCCTTAGCTGCTATTGGGAAATGCGGGTCATGAACTGACTTCGACGCACTTCTTTCCTACTTTGGCATCGTCTTGTGGCATCTTTCGACAAATAAATAAATACAGGAATCCCTCGTTTAACGCGGTTAATGGGGACCAAAACCACCCGCGATAAACGAAAATCCGCAAAGTAGCGACCAATTAACATAAACAGGTAAAAAAAAAAAAAAAATTTTAAAGTCCGCAAACAGTCCGCGAGAAGCTGCAAAACAACAGCGAGTCACATAGAGCAAACATATACAGTACTGTACTCCATGTATATTAAAAAAAAAAAAGTTGGATGTTTGAAAAAATCCGCGATGCACTGAACCCGCGATAAACGAACCGCGAAGTAGCGAGGGATCACGGTAAATAAATAAAACATTTGAATAAGGGCGAATAGTGAAAGAGGAGGGTCATGCCAGTCATATTTTCACATTCAAACACACACACACACACACACACACACACACACACACACACACACACACAAACAAAACTATACAACCTGAGCTGTTGCTAGGCAGCCAATTAATGACAGATGGTAATCGAAATGTCATGAAATTATCACACCTTTTTTTATGTGAAAGTCTTCCAGGAAAAATGTACCCCCCCCCCCACACACACACACACACATGCTCACATCTCCCATGTTCCCCAATAAACTCCAAAAGTCCAAATCCATTTAGACGGCGACACAGCGGGGCGTCTCTTTGATGCTGAGTGAAGGAACGACAACACAGATTGATGACGGTTTGATCAGAGAATGCTCCATGTTTGGAGTTACAGCCGTCGCGACACCCCCACCCCCCCACCCCCCAGCACAATGGATGCTGACCTCCGCAGTTGGACTTCAAAAGACGTCTTCAGAAATGTGTTTTCCAAGATCACCATCTTATAGAAAGCAAAAACGGACAATGCAGAGATTCCACTCGGAGGACAATATACCAACAAAGAAGACCATCTTGACAAATTGACACCCACTCTAGCCACGATCAAGTCCATTCCAAATGCGTCGCTCACTTTGGTGACGCCATGACTTGCCATCTTGGTTGCAATTATTTTTCTAATGGCCGTTATTACTCATCGAGCGGGCACCCCGAAGTTGGGCCGCCATTGTTTGGAAAGGACATTAGCGTCGCCTGCTCCGCGTCTTGACAAGTTCAACGCCACGCGTCTCTTCTCCCATTAGTGACTTGTCACCATTCAGACAGAAGAGTGACTGCCGCACGTCTGCACGTAATGAGGAGGAAAGAGTCTCAAATCCGGGATGGAAATACAAACGGATTAGACGCTATAGAAGGCATTTTCCCGTAAATTAGTGCCACAACCTTAATAGCTGTTATGCGGCTGAGAAAATGAACACTCGCGGCCGCTGTATGAGAAAACGAAGGTGGACGTGTATGTACGGTACGTGTGTGTGCTACATGGATTTGGAATGCAAACATGTAATTATTCCGTGAAACGACCGCCGGCATTCTATTTACGGTCCCATTAGCAAAATGATATGCCGTACTCTGTGTACCGATGCTATTTTTGAAAATTAACAACGATAAAAAAAAAAAAAAAAAATGGTTGTAAGTGCGACGAGCATCTATAAGGGGTTCGTTGCAGTCACTGAGGCTCAGTTTATTTCAAGAGTATCCACAAAACACCATGAATGAAATTTTTTTTATGCAAACAAAGATTTCTTAAACTACCCTACGGGACAAAGAATGAAGGGGGGATAACGACAAGGTGACCGGATACGGATAATAAATTCAGGGCATGAATAACAAAGCGAAAGGGAAAACAAAACAAACTGCAACAGAGGACACGTTTCCCGCATAAAGAGAAAACATTTATGACAAAAATAAAAGCAGTCTGAAAATAAGCAAAAAACAAAAGACGCATGTTTGATGGGGTTTCCCAATTTTTTTTTTCCAATAGTGATGATCAGTTACATAGAACCAAATCTGAACAAAAATAAGTGGAAATAAAATGTTACAATTATTTTTCTGAAAAAAAGAAATGAAAAGACACGTTCACAAAAATGATAAAAATTAGGTGGGAACTCCATATGATTTTTTTTTTTAAATGAACAAAAAAAAAAACAATGAAAAAAAGACTACAAATAACCTAACCAAATAACAAACTAAAAATATCAAAATATATCACCTTGGCCAGACAAATTTAAATTCTCTTTCCACTACAACATGCACAAAATCAAAACACAAATTTATCGTTACATAAAATTTTGGTTTTTTTTTCAAATCAATTTTGGAATGACCCTCCCTGCTTCCGTCACATCTTTCAAGACCAAAACTGAGATGCTTTGGAAAACACTGCTCTGTCTTAAATATAAACTATTTCAAAGATGGACACCGGCATGGCCGTTATTACTCATCGAGCGGGCACCCCGAAGTTGGGCCGCCATTGTTTGGAAAGGACATTAGCGTCGCCTGCTCCGCGTCTTGACAAGTTCAACGCCACGCGTCTCTTCTCCCATTAGTGACTTGTCACCATTCAGACAGAAGAGTGACTGCCGCACGTCTGCACGTAATGAGGAGGAAAGAGTCTCAAATCCGGGATGGAAATACAAACGGATTAGACGCTATAGAAGGCATTTTCCCGTAAATTAGTGCCACAACCTTAATAGCTGTTATGCGGCTGAGAAAATGAACACTCGCGGCCGCTGTATGAGAAAACGAAGGTGGACGTGTATGTACGATACGTGTGTGTGCTACATGGATTTGGAATGCAAACATGTAATTATTCCGTGAAACGACCGCCGGCATTCTATTTACGGTCCCATTAGCAAAATGATATGCCGTACTCTGTGTACCGATGCTATTTTTGAAAATTAACAACGATTAAAAAAAAAAAAAAAAAAATGGTTGTAAGTGCGACGAGCATCTATAAGGGGTTCGTTGCAGTCACTGAGGCTCAGTTTATTTCAAGAGTATCCACAAAACACCATGAATGAAATTTTTTTTATGCAAACAAAGATTTCTTAAACTACCCTACGGGACAAAGAATGAAGGGGGGATAACGACAAGGTGACCGGATACGGATAATAAATTCAGGGCATGAATAACAAAGCGAAAGGGAAAACAAAACAAACTGCAACAGAGGACACGTTTCCCGCATAAAGAGAAAACATTTATGACAAAAATAAAAGCAGTCTGAAAATAAGCAAAAAACAAAAGACGCATGTTTGATGGGGTTTCCCAATTTTTTTTTTCCAATAGTGATGATCAGTTACATAGAACCAAATCTGAACAAAAATAAGTGGAAATAAAATGTTACAATTATTTTTCTGAAAAAAAGAAATGAAAAGACACGTTCACAAAAATGATAAAAATTAGGTGGGAACTCCATATGATTTTTTTTTTAAATGAACAAAAAAAAAACAATGAAAAAAAGACTACAAATAACCTAACCAAATAACAAACTAAAAATATCAAAATATATCACCTTGGCCAGACAAATTTAAATTCTCTTTCCACTACAACATGCACAAAATCAAAACACAAATCTATCGTGACATAAAATTTTGGTTTTTTTTTCAATCAATTTTGGAATGACCTTCCCTGCTGCTGTCACATCTTTCAAGACCAAAACCGAGATGCTTTGGAAAACACTGCTCTGTCTTAAATATAAACTATTTCAAAGATGGACACCGGCTGGTGGGGCACTGCCCTGCCTACTCCCAAGGGACAGCCGCCA